TGTATGTATGTATGTATACGTGTATAAAACGTCTGCGCTCTATACACTAAAAGCCATGCCAAAAGGTCCCAGAAAGAGTTCCACCACTAAAGTGTGCGCTTAGCCTTCTGGGTTCGGGGTTAATCTAGGAGCCTAAATAATTACCAATACTATTACGGGGGTTCCTCATTCTAAGTATACTATACTGGGCGCCAAAACCCTATTCAAATTATTAAGCCCCCCTATACTAGGGACAGGTCGCGGCCTCAGGAGGCTCCACGGCCTTCGCAAGGAAGTGCTCCTTTGCCTTCGCGAGACATTCCTGGAAGATGCTTTTGAAGGAAACCTGGCAGGGCTTTCTGAGGTCTTTTTTTCGAACCCAGACTCTGCCAATCAGCTGGGTTTAGGGTTTAGGGTTTCTGAGGTCTTAAAGCCTGAACCCCTCCTGCTGCAAGCCGAAGACCTGAGAATTGCTTGAGCATGCCGCCCCGACACATCACCGGAGATCACAGATGTACGTTAACTTTCATAGCCAGAGAGCCACAAATTCCCTACTCCACCAAGTCATGCTCAGCATTCACCGGATTGCCAAGAATACTTGGGACGACATGTACCAGCCACATACCGGAATCCTAGTCGCCCAACAGCAGAAATCGGAGCCGATCCGTTCAAGCGCTGCGTGATTTCGTTGACCAGTGGCAGGAACAACACATTCCCAAAGGGTCCAAGTACTAGTATAGTATATATTTTGGGGGCCCAACTACCTCCTAAGTACCTACTATAATGGTACTTGGACCCTTTGGGATTGGGGTCAAGAATAGTTCGAGGATTTTAGGTTGTGACGCGCACGAGCCGCTTCTGAGGGTGGGAACCCTGGTAGGAAAGCAGACCCTCTCTCGCTCTCTTTGCTTTGCTTGGGGTGAGAGGAGTGGGCAGTCCCCACCCCCCACACGCTCTCTCTATCTCTCCATCTTTCTCTCTCTCTCTCTCTCTCTCTCTTTCTTGTCTTGGCTTGTCTTCGTGGCATAGCTGCGTCTGAAGCCCCCCGGCGCCGAAAAGAGGGGCTCTGCCTCTCTGACGCTCTCTTCTTATACTTTTAACTAGATAGTACTAACATATACACTAACATCAACTATGCGTAAAGATATGTAAGGTATCTGTCTCGTTCTTTTAACTTTACATTTAGTGCTTTAATACTAAGGCACATATAATGATATGTAATGTATCTCTCTCTGTCACCTTGACCACAGCAACGTGGAAAGAAAGGCCCCTCGGCTCCCTGAGACACGGCATCCAAAAGAGCGAGTACCCAAAACGCACCTTGATTTCCGGGCTTCGGTAGGCGTTGCCGTTGTCCTCCTCCCACTGCAAGGCTTTGGCATTGGGGCATTATAGTATATTCAGGTGTTTCTTTTATATAGTATATTACAGTACCGTATAGTATCTTATTTTATATTATAGGACCGGGCCCTCTGGCTCGAACACTCCGTGGGCAAGGGGCCCTTTTCTTCATGGCTCCTGCATCGAAGGGTTTCGGCGCTCAGAACTCGGACGATCCCAGCGAGGCACGTGTTTGTAATTCGGCTCGAGTATTATAGGGTAGAATGTAGGGTTTCTACAAAAAGGAATCCTTATTATTATTATTATTACTATTATTATTATGATTATGATTCGGGAAAGTATCCCCCATAACAGTACCTGGGACCCTTTGGGTTCAGGATTTACGGTTGAAGCTGGAAGTCCAGCAGAAGCGGGCTACAAAACCCAGGAACTACACCCCCCCTGAATTCAGCCCTTCAGCCTCCCCACCCCCTGGGCCTCCGTGCGCATAGTCAACATCACTCTTCCATAGGGGTGGTTGTCAAAATTATGTTCCCTTTGTGGGTATCAAATAGTCTAAACTTTACGGCTTCATATACTGTCTATAGGTATGAACGCTTGCTTTGAGCTACCTGGAGGCTCAGGGAAGAACAGGGACACCGAATCTGTCGGAGACCCAAAAAGCTACTTCAAGAGGTCATGAGAGTTCCTCAGCTGACCTGTGCCCTACTAGAAGCCCATTTGCTTGTATCTGTCCTGTCATACCGATCGCTAGATCCATCCATCCGCCCATCCATCTGTATCTCTACAGTTTTCTACACAACCAAACGAATACGGATGTTAGAATCATTCCTCTCTGTGTGCATGTGTGTGTGTGATGTGTCTGTGTGGCCATTCTTGCGGAGTAATACAAGAACAAATAAGTCAAACATAAGAATTAAACACGGACATATTTGGGGTTCACTATTCTGCAGGTACCTGGGCTTCTAGAGCTGCATCACCTTTGCAATGCACGGTCCAGATAGGAATCCAGCCGTGCAAGCATGGTGTCGTGCTCAGAGCGCAAGGTGACCACCCTGTAGGGCAGCTGCTGCTCCTCCACGAGTCTGTAGATGTCGGTCAAAGACGTTGCAGTGGTCCGGAGTAGCAGGCCTTGCACTTTTCCGGCTTTAAGGGCACCTAATGCCCCCCCTGAGACCGAAAGCTCGAGGCCGAAGCCGAGATACACGCTGATCAGTTCAATGCCATCCGGGTTCCACTGACTTAGGATGCAGTCGATAGTCGTTCTACCCTCAAGGCTTGGAATGCATGGTGCTTCCGACACCACTTCTGATGATAGTACCCGCAGCACGCTTTCTGTTAGCCCGGCCATCTTTGCGCCACGTCGGATGGCAGCTGCGTTCGCCTCGCCTTTTTCCACCGCCAAAGCTTGGAGGCCGCCACTTTGGCCCTGGCCCCAACGTGCAGCTGCCCAAAGTGAGCAGTCCCCCAGATGAGCCCCGATATCGACGATGCGAAGTGGCCAGCTGCCACCCTTAACGATCCGATGAAGATCCAACATCTCCATCACGTCCATGAAGGCGTGGTTGCAGTGCGGCTCCGCAGTCACGCGAATTCGGTCGGAAAGGAACCAGTACTCATCCGTGGCTGTCTGCGACCCAACAATGTGGGGAGGATGCAGGCTCATGGGGTAGGTGACCTCCGCACTGGTAACCCTGGCCATCATCTTCCGAGTGCTGTCGGAAAGTTGCGTCCTGGAGCCATCTCGGAAAGGTTTCACTGTGACAAGAATGTCCCTAGGAGCGACCAAGCGATCTAAACCTCGCCAAACCAGCACCCAAGGTGGTCCTATGAGAGACTGGACCGCCGGACACTGAATCACCACTGCATGAGCGGCTTTCAGGACGGCAGCGCCGACTGCCTCAGGTTTTTCCTCCAACCGCTGCATTCGATGTGCCTCCAGTGTGATAACAGCTGCTGCAAGCTCTGCATCACAGGAGAGGTTTCTGCCTCGCAATGCGTCTTCGGCCGGTCCTATCTCCTCCGAGAAAGTCCACTTGCCTGTGCCCAACCAAGTCTCCCAGGCTCGTCCCACTGCTCCGAGCTCCTGGGCAGGCTGTAAGCCCTCGGAGAGGCTGGCAAGGAGGGCAAAGAAGGGCCAGGAACCCATGCTTGCTGGCGTCCACAGCAAGTTATCTGCCAAAGCCAGATCCAAGGAAGTGAAGACCTCCTGTGCGAGTTCTTGCTCCCGAAGGTCCTTGAAGCCAGCGAAGTGGCCCGAGTGCAGCATCATCTGCTGTACTGCCGCCCATGGGAAAAGTTGCAAGCAGAGCACAAGACCGAGGGTGGCTGCTGCCATACGACACTGCTGGCGAAAATCCTTTGCCTGAGGCACTTTCTTATCGAAAACAATCTCGGCCGCGACCACTGCGTCCATGAGCTTGCTGCGCTGGTAGTAGGTCCCTGGGCGAAATCCGCGTACATATCCTTGAAGTGACTTCCGCACATCCCCAAACTGGGCAAGGCTGCCCGGAGCCCGAAAACTTAAACTTTCGAAGCCGACGACTGGAACACGATCGCAGATGATGCCAAGTTGATCCATTGGGCCCTGCTCTAACAGCCGTGTTTTGGCAATGGGCAAGGCGCCGTGCTTGGCTTCGTGTGAAAACTTGTAATTTTTTGCGAAATAAGGTTCTCACTGACCGGAGAAGGGGCTTCGCCAGTGCATGTCAATGTCAAGGCGTGCTGCTTAGCTACAAAAAGGAGCTGGTGGCCTGGTAGCAGCACTGCCGGGTATGAGCTGATCTTAATATACTTAGTACTGGTCATAAGACGAGTAATCCCAGAATTAACGTCAAACGCGGTGGCGAAAGAAATTACATTAATCATAATGACTTACAACATCAGTTAAACCGAGACAATTTTATGAGGCAAGAACAGTAGAACTAACCCAAGTTCTGTCAACTGATTATTGCGGGACTTCAGGACCAGTGCATTTCGAGAAGTTCCCATCCGTCCTGTTTGGATCTGCATGATCTTGAGCCGTAGCCACTGTGTAGCGCAGCAATGACAGAAACAATTCCCACCTCAACCCCTCAGACGGCTGTCAGACGAGAACTCGATCAACCAGACAGGGACATGCTATGCTAGAGAAGTACACTGCGCTGTCCGATTCGGGCAGCTGCTGCCATGACCATCTTCATTGGAGTATGCAGGAATCTCACGAACCCCTTCAATCCGGACCTGCGTTTACATCCAAAAGCTTGAAGTGACACAGAAGCATGCGCTGCGCCGTGTCCTGTGTGAGCCGGAAGGCCTGCAGTAAGTGCCGGAATTTCTTCCGCGCCTGCAGAGCATACTGGAGGCATGCATGGGGCGCTTTGCCACGAATCTGTCATGTCCACGACTCTTTACAGCTTGACGCGATAGAAGTGGCAACCATGTCCGATGCAGCAGAATAGCGAAGAAAGGAGAAAAGAGTAACTTGGCATGACAATCAACAGCAGCCACGCAAGAAGTCGTGCATCATCTTGCGTTAAGGTCCTGCACAAGAATGTTTCCTGATGCTCGAGTCCCGGTGCAACCGCCACGATATCACACCAGTAAGGTTGGATTAGCTGTTCCAACGAAAGCTAACGCGGCCATGCATGAAACTTCGGGCGGAGACTTTGGCTACTGTGCGGGGATCAAGGCTCCTGCAAAGCACCATCGGTCCAAGTCTGATCCTAGGGACAGCTAAGTGAAAGGCCAAATTTTCTTTGAAGGCAACCATCGTGAAACAAAGGGTCCGGTGTTCACACCTCACAAGGATAAAGGTGGCCTGCTTGTTCTGAAGACCATCCAGTCGCACAGTCTCCCCGTCGTCGATGTTCTCCGAAAGCTTTCAACTCTCACACTCGCACAAGGCATGCAAAGCTCCACATAATCCAAGCTCATTTTGCAGCAATGACTGAGAGTGCACACGAGAGGCCACCAGAACCACATAAGACCATAGACTCCCTGGTGTTTCGGGGTTTCACGGCTGAGGGTTTCCAGGGACCATGGATGCAGAACGATGTTTTCACAACGAGCATACGACTCTATAATTTTGGTGCAGGCAGATGCGATCACGCGAAATTGTTGCACGTCCCGGGCGCACGTGTATGCTTGTGTGCCTGTGCCTGTGCCATCCTGTGCATGTGTCTGCGTGTCTTTGCATATGTTTGTCTGTCTGTCTCTGTCCGTCTGTGTGTCTGCCTCTGTCTCTGTCTGTCTCTGTCGGTCTGTGTGCGTCTGTGCTTTTCCGGGCATTACCTTTAGATACCGATATCTTGTAAATATAACCCACAAGCAACTGCTGCCATAACAAACGAAGCAGGCTATCTCCATAGCGTGATGCGAAAGTGCTGAAAACGAGTTGTGAGAAGGAGGCCCAAAACGCCGATGAAAACAAACGCACACCAAACTATCGGCCAGCACCATAGGCAGACCTCAAAGCGCAACCCATCCCGACTTGCACGGCGTCCTCGAAGACAGTCTCCAGCTCTTCCTCTACGTTAGCATCAAGCTGCAGAAGGCCTCCAATCCTCAGATTTATGTTTGTGGGCGCAGGCTGCTCAGTTTTTTTCGGGCTTGGGCCTCGGTTGTAATCGGGCATCCATCTTGGAAGAAGGAGGTGTGGAAGAAGCTCTTAGTCTTAGTCTACCTTTTTTCAGCTAGTTTTTTGGTTTGCTTCTGGTTGTTGAAACGTCTGGGTTCAGGCATCCGGAATCGAAGAAGCCTGCCCTCAAGGGAGACTCTTGCCAATCTTCCCGAAAGGCGAGACATGGTTGAAAGGTGATACTCTCACGTTGCCTTTGCCAATTTGCACAAGGTGCCAATCATGGTAGGGGCCAATACTTCTTCGTCTTCGGTTCAGGGTGAAGCTTTCACGTTTTCGATTCGCGTAGCCTCTTCGAGCCCGGCATTTCCCGACTTTGGCTGGCTACTTCCTACACTTACCTTCTCCAGTGCTTGGAATAAACACGGCAGCGTATCTGTAAACATCTTACACACTTCCCCCACAAAAACTTCCCGGGAGTCGAGAGTACGTCGAAGTCTTTGGGACCCAAAGCCCCGGAAGCTCCGGGGAACCTCGGAGCCTCATTAATAACCCGAGTAAAGCTTTCGGATCTGTTTAGGGTTCCCTAACCCCCCAGGTACCTACTATATAGGGTACTAGAGCCCCTACAGTAGGGCCCTATATAGCCTACTATATAGGGTACTAGAGCCCCTAGGGCCCTATATAGTAGGTACCTGGGGGGTTAGATAGTAGGGACCTGGGGGGTTAGGGGTTTACACTCTCACCACTCGGACAAGCCAGGCGAGGATCCATGTGTTCGCATTCGGCGTGAAAACAAGATCACCTGATGCCTGCTTAGGGTTTCGGGTTTATAAGGATTCATTCGAGCCACTGGCGGACCGCGTCGCTCCGCTCACAATTCCAGTCGAGCGCCCGTTCGGCGCGCTTCCTGGGCCGAGGTTGTGCGGTTCTGTGAGGCTGAGGCCAGCCCAATGTATTGAGGTAGTCTAGAGGTGTCGCGTCCTGAGACTTTTCATCAGTCACAACCCGCCGGCCCAGTCCAAGCTACACCCGGTTTCTCTGGGTTTTTGTGCATCAGGACTTGTGCAACCGGCTGAGAGGTCAGAGCGCTCGGTCTAAACTTGACAGTCTAAACAGGCGCCTGGAAAGGGTTCGGACTTTCACAGCTGGGTTCTAGGTGAGTGGTTCACGAGTCGGCGTCTACCGCTTCTGAATATCTGTCACTACGACTGCAACGCATCTATGCCAGGCAGGTTGAGTCGGAAAGTCCGGCATGGAAGATACTCCACAGAGAGCCCTAGTGCAGTCTTGTCGAGTCGGGCTCTTTCGCGACTGGGAAATCTTTAACGATCAGGCCTCCTTATGCAAGTATCGCCTTGGCGATTGCAGCATCTCTATCTCTGAAGCTGTTAAAGAGCACTGGGCGGAAACCAGCAAGTCCCAGTTATCAGTGTATTATGTCAACAGCCACAAGATAAGACGACTCATACCAATATGCGGCCACGAATCTTTTCTTTGCCGTCGTCTTTCCTTACAGAGACGTCGGCCCCAAATGACTTGTCAGGGGGTTGAGGCACCAGCTAAGGGGAGTCGCCGCTGGGATTTACGGCTTGAGCGGCTTGAATGGTAGGGCTTAGGCTTAGTCCCTGGGGTGAAATGGGGTTTAGGAAAACCCTTGCCATCCTGGCTGTCCACTGTCCGCCAAGGTGCTTAGCCGCCTTCTTCTCTTTCTTGGGTTTCTTGTCCTTTTTGTCCTGCTTCGTGAACATTAGCGCATGTCGTATCTGATCTTTTTGGGAAGGATGACGGCTTCCGGGGGTAGAGACTTAGAGTTGTCCTGCTGCTTTCGAACTTTCCGGTCGTCGCAAGAAAATATCAGTCCTTCTTCGCCTTCTTCTTTTTCTTCGGACTTTCGCTGTCTGATCCGCTGCTTCCCATGATGGCGGCACATGGGGGGGGCCGGAGAAGTTGAGGAATGATATCTGAAGTAGCTGAAAGTGCTAACTGTGGTGGCCAACGAGTAAGAACAAGTATCACATCCAGTGCTTCCGACACGCTTCTGCCGTGTGTGCAGATGCCGGACTGTCTGTAGCCGGCTGCTAAAAGACTTGGTGACAAAGAAACAGTTAAGCTCACACAACAGCGTCCAATCTTTAGAGAACACCGGAGCCGAGTCTATCTTCTTACCATAAGTCACCGGTAACGGCCACAGCCCGAGCCAAAGTCGACGGAAACGCGGCCGCACTACCGCTCTTGGCCAACCTCGCATGGCAGTTCCGTCAGAATGGCCATAAACACTCAAGCTTTGACCACAATGCAGGACACCCGTCACAAGCTGCCAGGAGTAAACGGAATGCCACTTAGACTAATCATGATACGTGCGCTCACCACTCCCATGAAGAACATGAAGCTATTGCCAAATATTCAACAGCCGAGCCCCACAGCTGGTCGCCTGAATGACACTACAAGTATCACAGTAATTTCATCTGCTGACTATCCAGTATATCCAGTTCTCATGTGGGTAGTTCTCTAAATTAGGGTCCGTTTTTAGGTCCCCCAATATAGTACGGCGCCCTTATAAAAAGGATCCCAAAAGGGACCCTAACTTAGAAAACTACCCATGTGGCTCCACTGCGGCGAATGTGAACTAGCGGCCGATTGTACCGCGCGATGGTCCTGAAAGTCTCATGCACCCTCCCTCGCTCCCCTCACCGTGCGCTATCTTCTCCATCCAAACCCCCCGACTCCCGACCTTCAAGCTTCAATCCTCATCTCCCTTTGCTGTCAAGCTCCCTTACGGCTTGCCTCAAGACGTGACTGTCGGAGCTGCTTCGCTCGCATGATGCTCTGGGAACCCATCTCCGCTGGGAACCTTGATGGAAGGACCCTGGCCCAACATAAAGCTGAAAACCCCGAAAGCTTTTCCTGAACCGTTTCGCTCGCTCTCTGTCTCTCTCCCTCCCTGTTTTTGGAAGGGCCGGGGAGCTACCCCTAACTCCCCTAGCGAAAGATTCACGTCCCAGCTAATCTATGACAGTGCC